CCCACATCACCTCCCCCATTACTCACCCCCCCCCTCCTCCCTACTTTGCTCCAAGTAGCGCCAAGGAGAAATTGAATAGAGATACGCGCTAATTGGTCTCTTGCTGCTTGCTTAAAGGAACAGAGACATTCTTTTTCGTTTTGCCAATTGCAGTGTGTTGCTCCAACCTTTATTTTGACATAAGAAAAAGCAAATCTCACAGCATCCCACCAAACAAAAATGTCCAACCAGTCAACTCCATTTTACTGCAGTGGATACGCTATGTTCCACACCCACATTTGATATCGAACCAGGGATCTTCTGCAGAAGCCTGATAACCATCAAGGACGGGAGTTGGTGGGCCCCTGATAGAAACCGGATTTTAAAATATTTTGTTTTACCGCTCCTGTGATTTAAACTTATCAAAAGACAGGTTTTAAATTATTCACACGCTGAGGTCACTCCTGCTCCTGGTCTTGCCTACTGTTTCCCGGCATTTGGGTCCTCCGCACCCGACTACATCAACCAAGTAGCCTGACAACATGTTTTTGGACTGTGGGAAGAATCCCAGAAAAAAAAACCACACACACACACACACACACACACACACACACACATGAGCTCACATGCCAACGTGTCGCCCAATCGCCGAGCAAGCTGAACGAAACTTGGAATCATTTCTTGAGCGAAAATGAACCCAAACAGCTCCACGTCGAAACTTCCCGCTGATCCGGGAGTCAAGAGTTGACGGGACTGTTTTGCCAAGTTGTTCTACACCGGGTTATTTTTAATCACTGCCTAACATGCAAATATGGAAAAATATACAAACCGCCCCCGGCTGTGAATTACAAATGTGTCTTGTACAACTAATAACAATAATGTACTTTTAGACTCGTGCGTAAATCAGGTCCCGACTGTCATGTTTGCGCTTCCTTCCTGCTGCTGAGCTGTTAATTCCGCCCAGCGCACTCGCTCCTCTTCCTTGGGACCTGGCATATCCATATTCATCCGCAGCCTATAGAAGGTGTCAAATGGAGGCGTCCTAATTGTGTCCTTGATGAAAGCCTATTAATATTGAACGCTTGTGCGCGGCGCGAGACCAAAAAAAAAAAAAAAAAAGCGGATGTGTTCACATCTCTAATGATACCTGATTCCCTCGGGCCGTGTGGCCAGACTCACCGCCGCTGCCGCCAATTCATCACGCGCAAAAGAAATAAATAAAATAAAATATGGCGACGTTTACTCGGGAGGCGAAGAATCACGTCGCGTGATGTCACTGTTAATTATAAGAGGGGGATACAAGTGGTGGGAAGTTCAAGCACTTCAATATTTGAATCACTGTTTGTTTGTTTTTTTACACAGATACGTGTACTTCTTTTTAAGTCTCAAGTGTGTGTCCTTTGGCCACGTTTGCTCTTTGCGTTGTTTTCTGACAGCCAGTAACGAGGAAGCGAATCACATTCCCATGCAGCAGTGCTTGTTGTTTTAATTCCAGCGGACTGGCCTCCCATGTGACCTCGTCTTCAAGTGAGCCACTTGCGGTCTTCGGGTGTCAGGGCCGGCAAACCTCTGATCCCGGATCCGACGCTGCCGGGACCGCGGGCGCCGTCCCAGCTGTTGTCTTCATTTGAATGCGCCGGGAATGACATGAAAGCGGAGTCGGTTGAATTTATTAATGAGCGGAGGGCCCTTGGAGAGGTGCTTTTAAAGGCCAGTGATTTCATGCGGGCACTTAAAGGCCATCGTCGTCTTGGAAGAATTATGGTATCGTCACACCGCCGTAAACTGCTATTAGTCACCATTTTCCCGCTTTTGTTACGTCTGCTTGGCTCTCTTCCCAGTGTGAGCGTACCAGACGCAAAATGGTCCGGCTGCCAATGACATCCCATACAAAAAGAAATCTGCTAATAATGCTCACTTTAGACTGGCACTCTCAGAGAGATATTCATGAAAAGCATTTTTAGTCATGCTGCGGATGAAATTGAGCCATCCATCCATTTTCGGCACCTGCGGGTCTCAAAATGGGGTCCGCAAGCAGTCACCTGGGGGTCTACAAAATAATTAGCAATACATTGTGTCTTTTTTTTTTGTTTGTTTTTAACTGCATACCTACATATGGACACCGGCATGTGCGTAAAATAAACACACTAAATCAATTACGCCTCACATGCACTTCTGCTATACATTCACACAAACAAAATAGCACATTGCAAGCAGAAAATATGGATAAAACACCACCCGTAATGTGATGTCTGTGGACATGCCTGTGCCTTTGGGAGGCGGGGCCTAGCAGGGCCGTATGTGATGAGACTTTGTGTGAGTGTGTGGGCGTGAGCTGTGGCCGCCAACAGCTTCTGCGTAAGTGCGCGTCGCGTATTTTACGTCTCTCCCTGTGCTCGGTAACCGGCGGGAGAGTGCATCGGCGACTGCGGCTCTCCTTTCCCACATGCGGGGGCATTAAAGTACGTAGACATAATGTAAAAACTCCGCAAGCATTGAACCGCGATATAGCTGGAGAACATTGCACACCATTGACTAAGTTACCTGTCAATCACAGGGGATATATTCACAGACAAGAGAAGCCTTTCTCACTTTGTCCGAATGTGAGAACGACAGAGACGTAACCATGACTAAGGATGGATCGTAGACATTGACCATGCAACACAAGAGGCCTTCTCTCACTCTCTCTCACCAGTGTGACGCCCGCCCAGGGGCTCAACATCAGAGGAACGTCTGCATGAAGAGGAAAACAGGTTGTATGGGGGTCCGCGCACACACACACACACACACACACACACACACACACACACACACACACACACACACACACACACACACACACAGAGTGCCTGTGGTGATGCCTGAAGGACTGTCATGGAAACAAGCAGTGTGACAGGCTCTGGGTGTGTGTGTGTGAAAGAGGGTGGGTGGGTGTGGGGGGCGCAACAGCTGCAGGCGCTTCCTCTTTTGACAGGCAGATGAAGACATCACTGACACACCATGAAAAACAGCGACTGTGGAGTTTCAAACAGTGTTTCTGAAACTGGGGTGCACAAGAAATTGTGAAATAAATGATTTGGCATCATATCAAAACATGCATACCTTCATGTGGGCCGTGGTGTGCAAGAACAAACATAGTAAGGCAACTTATTAAAAAAAAAAAAAAAAACATGTACATGCACACACACACACACACACACACACACACACACACACACACACACACACACACACACACACACACACACACACACACACAGTATGAGTGATCAGGCCATGTTAACTGCTGGGCGGCCCAAATGTTCATGAGCAAGCGTGTGTCCAGGGATCGGCTCTGAATTCTCGGACCATATTGCATTCTGGGACTGCATCGTCCCCTTTTGGGAGAAAACACTTTGCTCAATAATTCTCGAAAGATAATGGCATGCCTTCACAGTCTAAGAGCGCCAGTGCGTCCAACAACTGCCGTAACCCTGCTGTCACACTCTTCTTTACGATCCGTTGGGAGGAGGCAATTCGGAGCCTTAACAACCTCAGCGACACGCGCGGCACACATCTGACAGCTTTGGAAGCACAACAAACTAAATCACATTGTGAACTGTTACCGCGTGGCAGCAACCAAGGGAGCCATTTGTAATCAATTTAAGTCACATACGCCGGAGTTCTCCCGCACTATTTCGCGGTTCACAAACAACACTGTGCAAAAGTCGACTTTCTTTGTTTTCACAGTCGTCAGTATCACTTGCAACACATGAACTCGAGTCGCGAAATGAATATTTTTGACCTGTGTTGAGTTTTCAAAAACAAATTGAAGTTGATCAACCCCCCCCCCCTTCCCTCCCCCTCCCAAAATAAAATTCTAGTAGCATCGCAAATTAGTTACTCCTCTTGGGGGAGGCGCATCTTTGGGCCACCAGTGGTCTGATGGTATACCTAAAGCCCACCACAGCCAAAACCAGCCCCCCCGGGCCCGTGCAGAGCTGCCACCTGAAGGCGGGCTTTTTGTGTTTGTGTGTGTGTGGAGGGAGGTGGGGGGGGGGGATTTAGCTCGTCAGAAGCTCCGGGGTCACCTCCACACCTCCCTCTCACTTTTGAAACGGACCCCTGGTGGCAGTTCCTGGGAGAGCCAAGTGATGTCTCTATCAGCTTGTCAAAAAAAAAAAAAAAAAAAAAAAAAAGATAGCCCGGGGCTCCGCCGAGGTCCCCCCCCCCTCCGAGCCAATCAAAGTCTTCACAAAGCACAGATGGATGCTCTTTCACCACTGGGCTACTGCAGAGGAGAAGGAGGAGGGAGGCGGGTAGGGGGCACTGTCCTATCAGAACCCCCTCCCCACCACCACCGGGCATATAAAAACAAATCCCCCAAACCTCAGATCAGCTCTATGTTTATTTTATATGGTCAGTGATTTTTTTTTCCCCCTCCTGCAACTGTTCCCAAACTTTAATGAGCCAAGGCACATCTTTTGCATTCGAAAAAAAAAACCCAAAACGTGTACATACTGAAATAATCTCTTCTGAAATTATTCCAAAATAGTTCATGTCTGCATGTGAACAGGTGGGCACACACATTAATCGAATTTAGCGGAAGAGCATTCAATTGTTGCGCCTGTCATTACACGTCGCTGGCATAGATAGATGAATACGATATATATACACAAGGTACAACATCTGTAGGAAATAAATACATTTTCGGACCAAATTTAGCTCCATTGGATCATTTCTCAAGCCACGCCAGATGATCTCCTACAGGACATTGATTGGGAATCACTGAAATTCTTGACAGACTGATGGAGATTTTTTTGAGGACATTTTATTCCTTTTAAATAACATAGCACGGTATGAAAAGTTCGCTGTAGAGATGAAATAAACTGACAGCATTGATACGGCATCCTTACCAAAAAAGGACAGCAGTGCAAAAACATGGCTCCACCCTCCCCACCCCATAATTCTGATGCTTTTTGGCTTTTAATGATATTAATGCGCGGATCAAGTGGAATATATTGCCATCGTTTGTTTTCCATAAAATGTTAAGTCCGGCATTAACTTTGACTTGGGGCGAAGATCTTAACACCCCCGAAAAAAAATACGAAAGGATATTTAAGGTAAGCCTCATTCCTCCTCCAAATTACATCCAAAGATGAAGGCACAGCTTTTCTCTTTCTTTCTTTTTTTTTTTTACCTCTCGGCTGGTGATGGACGGGGCCGTGAGCTGGCCTCATCCTTTTCCTCCTCCCGCTGTCAGCCAGGGAGGCAAACACACGAGTCAGAGGGCAACGTGAGGGGGCGAGGGTTTGCCGAGTCGGGGTGCAACGGTGGAGCTCGGGTGGCACCGGCGCGTTGTTTGTCAGGCGGACTGGGTCGGACCCCTGCTCTCTTACTTCTTCTTGCGTGGCAGGTTGTGGCCGGTGGGCGCTCTCAGTGCGCTATAGTGCACCTGCAAAAACAACCGGGAGTTTTTTAGTGGGAGGCAGGTAATCCGAGCTCAGCCGAGCGCACGGTAATGGCTCCCCTGAGGAGAAGTCGGCGCAGTGGGGAGATAAAAGCAAGGCGGCCTCGCAATGTAATGAATCATTTTTTAAACACGAGAGCAGAGGGGATTAATCACGCACAGGAAGGATTTCGGGAATCAAGGGTTTTGTACTAACACCTCATTCGACACCCCCAATCACAATATTAGAAGCGGAAAACAGCTGAGGTGACCCGCAAAGCTCCTGAAATTTACGGTTTTCCCCCTCAGAAAACTAAACTCCAAAGTCCAAGTCTAATAAAAACATCAAAGCTGAAAGCGGTGATAAACGGGCCCTCGCTGCCCCTTTTTGTCCTCGAAAACATCATCAAAAGTTTCACGCAGAGCTCTGCCCATGTTACACGGCAGAGTTAAAAAAAAAAAAATAAAAAAAAAAACTTTGTTCATGTATCTCACATCGCTGTCTCTGACTGGCCAACTTCTTGTTCCACTTCTTGCATGGGGATGTGCGATTTTTTTTTTTTGGTGTGTTTTTTGTGCATCCAATTTCATGTAGATTAGTGAATCTGGTGTCATTTGTCTGAAAGGAATTCAGCCCCAAGCATTCACACTTGGGGCTGACCTCACTTCTGTTTGCAGCATAACAGGCAGATGCTGCTTCACCATGTTTGCTTTGAACTCTGGCCTGTCCTAATTAAACCCAAATGTCCATTTTTTAAAAATCAATTTCAGACATAAGTTTCCAGAGGGCGCTCCCTGATTACCTGAAGAGAAAGAACCGAATGATGCAACACTGTTCAGGTCCATCATTTTCCAGCAATTCTTCATATAGAATGTGTTTTATTACATAAAAGAGCCACTCAATTTAAAAATGAAACACGCTTATGTACCCTGGCGACAATGTATGTCTCGAACGCGAGCCACCTAAAACACACTTGGTAGCACCATTTCGGGATGAAGCGGCTAATTTGGGCAAATGCCATGGCTTGACCCACAAAAACTAGGACATTAATTTTAATGAGCCCAAATCGGTAACAACATATGTATATATATTTTTGGAGGCCAAATGGCGTTTAACACAAAAAGCATGCGGTGAATGTTTGATAAACATTTTCATGATTTGTCTTGTAACATAAAATTCCCCCGACAGCAGTTTCGTTGATCGACATGAAACAACACGTATGCAAAAGTCTCAAGAACTCATGAGTTGAATCGCCAGTTTTCCATTTTGGGCAAATTCCCGGACTTGCACTTTGTTGAACTCATCCAAATGAGCGTCAATTGGAAGCAGGTATCCTCGATAGATGGGCAACTTTAAATGTTTTGAGGAGCATGGCGTTTGATGTTTGATGATCACTTTGAAAGTCGGCCATTTTAGGTGAATTCCAGGGCTTGTATTCTGACCAAGTTCTTCTGGTGAAATCCCCCAAATGAGCCCTAATTGGACAAACATCCCAGACAGATGGGCGATGCTACATAGCAAAGGCTTTTTTTTTTTCCTAAGTCATCTAAGATCATTTTGAGGATTTGCAGTGAACAAGGCGCTCTGTCAATGATGTCTGCAGCATTAATTATGTTTGCATTTCCCAGACAAAAGACTTCTGGAAGTAGGGAAGGACATTCACAAGTCTGAAACATTTTTCCTGACGTTTTAATTTATTCGAATCCTGGACCATAAAAAAACGGTTTGATTTTGTGCAAAAGTGTTGCAATGTAGCATGTTCTTCCGTTGGCTACACATGTCAAATTACCCGAGACTCACTCAAGTTTTCAGCATCGCCTCGTTCTGCAATTTCTGAAATGATTCTTTTCTTGACAGTCGAGAAATGTGATGCGGCGGCGCACATTTTTCAAGTGATCGCGGGGTGTCTTGAAGAGGAGCGAGCTAAAAACGTGCTGAAAAGTTGCTTTTGAAGCGCGGCGGCAGGCGCACGCTCAAACAAGGCGGCAAATCTGTTGAGTAAAAAGGTAAGGAAACGTTATGCTAATTAGCCGGGCGGGCCGCTATTAGAAACGGGAGATGGGGAGTGTGGGAACAAAGTGGCAGCCTGGTGCATCACAACATGAAACTGTGCTCAGAACTGACAGATGCTTCTCATTTCCGCCTTGTCAGAAGTCCCGCGTTTGAGGACGACTTTGTAGATTTGCGCGGCCGCTAATTGCCAAGTCACATTTGCGAGAAGGACAGGAGTCCGTTTGTGGTGGTTTTTGTCGCATCCGACGATTGTTCCAAGTCAACAAAAAACAAAATATGCGCTTTCTTACAACGGGGTCTCTTGGGTATATGATGTTCAGGTTATTTCGCCACCCCACCAAAGCCATGATAAAAGGCACTTGGGATGAATCTTAAGAACGTTGGAGCTATTCCCAACATGTACTTTCTCTCCAAAAAGTATTGTTTCCTTGTGTGTACAATTTCAAAGACGGAAAAAAAAAATATGTTGTATCCCGACGGGGGAGGAAGACGGACAAAAGGAACCGGAATCAAAAAAAAAAAAAAAAAAAAAAAGCATCCGCCACCTTGTTTTGCCAACTCGGCCGTCCAAATCTCAAACGAGACAGGCTTCGGCGACATCACAGACGAGGTGGCCATGATGTTGCTGCGGGGGGGGGGGGGGGAGACATCAAGGGTGAGAGAGTCTCGCCTGGATCCGCACCGTCAGGATTTTTCTCCCCCAGGGTTCGGCGAATGGGTGAGCTACGTGGGAGATGAAGGGAGCGAGGTGGCACTTCATTTCCTAGCAGAGCAAGTCTCTCGACTCCTTTCCGAACGCTCTGTGATGATGACGCCAATGACGCGCCGGCCGAGGCTGACGTGTCCATCACGCCACGCATTCATTGACCTTCGGCACCCTGCGGCGGAGGCAGAGGTGGCAAGCAACAAAGTACAAAGCCTTTGTCGCTGCACTAATGTCGCTTTTCAGCTGTCTTTTTTGGGATAACTTTATTCAACCTCTGCAGATTGACGGCAGGACCAAAAAAAAAAAAAAGATGTGAACAGAGGGGAGTCAAAATAACTGCGCTTGAGTTGTTGATTGACGGATTGATTGAGAACTTGGGGATTTATGACAGATGAAAAAAAAAATAGTGAGCAGTGACATAGAGGGTGTGTAGCAAGGAGCATAATAGAAGAAAGATATTCCCCATCTGTGGTCTAATTAAATTAAAAATAAAAAAGTTTGATGTTTTTGGCTGAGAGAATGACTCAAAACCAAGAGCTTCAGCATTTAAAAATGATCACTATAATCAGCAAACACAGTCGCTGATGGCTGCGTGGTGCACTCGCCTGACTCGAGTGCGGGCAAGCGTGGGATCGGTTCCCACTCGCTGACGGCGTGGATGTCGGTGTGAATGCTTGTTTGTCTCTAGATGTGCCCTGCGACTGAGTGGCGACCAGTTCAGGGTGTAGTCTGCCTTCCCACCCAACTCGTGATGTCAGCTGGGATAGGCTCCAGCAACTCCCCGCGACCCTCTTCCGGATAATTGGGATAAGAGGATGCATTTCCGGCACTGCGCGGGGATTCTCGTACAGCAAATAAAGCAAACGTCTTGAGGGAATCGGGTCCCTATTTGGATGTAAAAAAAAAAAAAAGGTCCGTTACCTTCTGAACATCTGACGGCATCCTCTTGAGGAAATCCAGCAGCTCATTATTGTCGATGGTGTACGGGTTGCGCAGCTTCTTGGTAAATTTGTTCACGCCTGCGAAAAAGGAGGACACCGTTATCGATGGAGGACCAACACGCTTTGCGCCGTACACATTCCGGCGATTCATCCCAGGAAGCCAAGTACAGCATACACAATACAACAACCCAAGGGTATGAATAATTTGGGGCTTGCCTGTCGGCCGATCCGTATTGCAAAATAGACGAGATACATTCAAGGCTGAAATCATTCATACCCGTTGGGAAATGAATAATTTCGGGTTTGATTGTAAACTCCCGCTCTCCGACCGGGTTAAACGTACTTTTTCCTTGACATCCAAAAGAATTTAGTCTCTCGATCGAGTTGTGCAGCATCAATAATAATTCCATGGCACCAATTACTACTTTCCTACTAACTAGGGCTTTGGTGCAATGTGTTGGATCTTAAGAGTGCTACAGAAAATGCACAAAATGACACACGAATTGCTAAGCGTAGGTTTCCGCATTAAAAACAAAACAAAAAAAAAAAACCCATTCAATTCATAAAAATTGCGATTTGGAGGGGGTTCACGATATTGCTTCATTTTGGAAGGACGAGCCACCTTCTGCTCACTTCCAAGCGCAACGCCATGAGACGCTCCGTACAAATGAGTGAAAAACACATCTCAGCGGTCTGGTAATGGGACTATTATACTGGCAGCTAGCGAGTGCCTCACCTCAACGTGCAGACAAAGAACCCCGGGACCTAAATATGTGCACGCAACTTGAAAGGCTTGCCTTGAAACCGCAGGGATGGAGGTTAACAGGGGAGGCAGAGAAAGCGTCTCCGTCTGCGCGCTTTTTTTTTTTTTTTTTTGATACGATGGGATTTTGGTATCGATTGCGTCGAGGGCTGCGCGCAAACGGAGAGCGGCTGTGGGCTGGCGAGCTGGTGGAGGAGTGCCCGTGGAGGGCAACGTATTTCCCTGACCACTGAGATGACGGTCCGCGCGGTATAGCCACACTAGATAATGAGAGGCCTTCGGAGCGCCCAAGGATATGCTGTGTTATATACGGCTCCGCAGCTCTCCTTTGTGTTCCCTACAAAACCCGGGGCCTTTTCCTGCACCGGGCTCCGCGGCATCGCAGCCCACACGGAGCCCAGCGCGCCGCTGCAGACGTCTGATCTGGTTGCATGAGCAGAGGTGTACGGGGAGAGATCTTGAAAAGGACTTCACTTCATTAAATGATATAGGGTGGGCAGTGAAGTCGAGCACGGCGGTTCTCCGACTGGAGCTTCCGCAAAAAAAAGTTAGCAATTCATTATTATTTGTTGCACCGTTGGTCGACATCTCGGCCCTGTGAGATTTTTCATTCGATTTTCGCACAACGGCGTGAATGCACTTACCCCATATGAGCACAATGTAGCGCAGTGGGATAAAATATAATAGCAAGGTGGCTACAAAGAGGACCAGGCAGGCCAGACACGACATGAACGGAACCGACCAGTTGAATAAGCTGCAAAAAGAAGAGGAACGGCGTCAAAATCTATTCATTCAACGTTTTGAACAAAGTTAGTATAAAAACAGAATTGGGTACTTCTTTGTACGCTCCCCGATGTTTGCAAGCTCTTCCAAAATGTTCTGGACGGTCAAGACAACTTCTTGCACCATGTGTATCTTGTCCATCAAACCTTTTTTTCCGGGTTCCTAAAAAAAAAAAAAAAAAAAGAAAGACAACAAAAGCTCTGATGAGGTCAACCGTTTGGTCATTGCGCCGCTTAGACAAAGACCGAAAACATGTCTGGTGAGCAATTATGTGATTTGCCTATTCAATGGTTGTAATGAGCGAACAACGTCCACTTCAGACTGCGCTTTTCAAGATGAGATGTCCTGAAGGAAATGTGACTGGATGCCAGACAGGCACACAAATGCAAAATGTAGCCTCAAATGTTGAGTGCACGACACAACTCACGACCATTTAATACGTTAACAATCAAGACTCTCATTTGGATAAAAAGTAGTCCTAATGATCAATTGCAATCAGGTTCCACATTGGAGAAGTTCCATTGCCGCAACCTGCGTGGGGTGCCCGCCTTCCAGAATCGTGAAAACTGTCCGTCTTGGTTCAATAACCCAGAGGATGTCGACACTTTCTGCACATGACAGAAATGCTTTTCCCTTTGCCGAAGCGTTATTTACGTTTAACACATGACATAATAATTGAGTGTGGCAATGCACTAAGTCAACATGTGCGAGGTAGGGAAAGGGGGTGGAGGGGGGGGAATAAGGGGGTGGAGGGTTTGTCTTTTTGATCACATCAAGGCACCAAATGGAGGACGCGTGTGAAGCCTTCCAGAGGGAGAGGAGTGCATCGAGATAACGCCGCCTAAAGAGGCCCGAAAAGGCTCACATCAAAAGGAGGAAATAATGACAGGAATGATGACAGAGAGGAGGGAGGCGGAGGGCAGTGGCCACGGAGGCTGGAGGATGTCTGCCGTATATGTTTATGATACCAGACAAGCGCGTTGACGTGGTCCAGGCGGGACGCCGCTATCACGGTTCGGCGAGGCCGCCCATGGGAACGCGGCGGCGTCTGCAAGCGGGGAGAGAAGGGAGAAAACTCCCCGCTGTCAGGCCCGCAGGAAGAGAGCCATTCCCACACGAGCACGTCCTCCCCCAACCGGGTGTCGGATCCTGGCTCCGCAGCGGAGGCTCGCCGCTGGCCAAAAAAGGCAAAAGCATGGCAAATATGCTTTGGTTGAGAGGAACCTCTCACGCTCTTAACATGGGGACGGACTATCAGGGTTTGGACTTAAGAGTTCAGATTGGTACAGTAAGCGCTTTTGAGTAGTGAGGGGTACCAAACCTCTACACTGACCCCCCACATCTCTCGCATGGAATACATTCAATCCCCACTTGCAGTCGGTGAAAATCTGCGATCTCGAGGGACCTCATAATTGTGTTTAGAGTTCCCGCCACATGCTTCAAACACATGTAAACGGTTAATCTTAATAAAACAATTTTTTAAACGCCTAAATGTACTTTATGTGAGCACAAAAAGAACTGAGAGATAGCATACATAATGTATCGTCTGCCGAGATACGTCGCAAGAGCCTTTGAGAGGCGGGGCTTGTCATCGACGAGTCTGCATGTGAGTGCCTGCTTGAGAGCTGCGGCCAGAAGCAGCTTCCGCATGAGATCGCTCGGTGCATTGGGTTTGACCGTTCTGCTTGTATTCAGTTAATGGTTGAAAAGTGCATTGGCTCTCCTTTCCCATCTGAGCGGGCATTACAGTAAATAAGTAAAAAGCCATCAAAAAATATCTTAAAAAAAAAAAGTGCAATATAGTGGGGGCAACTACGAACCAAAATACTGTATAGCCAGAGGAGGTTGGGGTCGGAGGTGGCGGGTGGGGTTTGGGGTACCGGTACTTGGCAACTTTGGCTGTGGTTTAAAAACTGCATATCGTCATGAAAGAGTGGAACGACACATGATGTACGGAGTCGTACTTTTTCTACAAAACGGCAAAGTGATTTTCTCTTCTATAAAACCAACCCCCCATCACATGACAATATTTAAAATTAAAAGTCAAAAAGTGCAAAACGCTGTTCGTAAATTTTCCAGTAAACGAACCTTGTGCAACATGAATGGTGACATATTGTAAAAATGGAGCAAGACCTAATTCTGATACAATTTGGACAGATTATCTAAAAAAACATTTTTTTGTTTTTAAATTGATTGGTCCCTTTGTCACGTGTTTCATCACTCCTTGACATCCTTGAGGGACAATGAATGATACTTGTTTATTTCACCGGTCAGTAGCTTAGAAGAGCATCTCTTCAGCTCCTTCAGTGGCGGACAAAGTAATAAACCTGTTCAATTGCACTAAGTACTGCAACCATATAGGGGACACACACACACGCACACGCACACACACACACACACACACACACACACACACACACACACACACACACACACATTGAATAGTTACGACGTACTTTTATATCTTCCAAGGAACACAGAATTGAAAAGTGGCCCAAACAAGTCCAGCTCTAATGTAGGTTATTATACATACTGTATGTATAGAGTGTATAATAAGTGCAAACAAATCATCATACAATGACGGCAGACACGGATAAAGAGCGAAAGCCTTCGCTTTCATATGTGAGGGAAAGAAAACCGACAAATAGATGCCCTCTGAAGTATAAATAAATAGATGCCTCTCTGAAGATTATCATTATTCATTTCCTTTCACGGAAAAAAAAAAAAATCATGAAATGCTCCATCTCCTTGGTGACAAGACATACTTTCCATGTCTTTCTTCCGTCAAACTGGAATAAAACAATTTGAATTGGACTGCGCAAATCGTGAATGTCTTCTGATGAGAAAAAGCTGCTAAAAGCACATTCGCATATCAGCTCAAACTGTGCAAACAAAAAGAAGCGTGGTCACGGAAAACTCATTTGATCCTCTGAACAAAAGTAAACAAAATATTTGTGGTGGCGGGAAGAAAAGCTCATTTGACTCATTGGATTCATTCGAATAAGCGGTGGAAAGGTGAGGCGTTCCAGTGGTGTCAAAGTACTAACACTACAAAATGTAGAGGTACTGATTCAACTCTTTTCATCTTCTACTGTCAAATATTTACCAGTTGTGAAAACTTCACAAAATGACAAAAAAAAAACCCAAAAAAAACCCGCTTACATGGCGCTTGAACATAAACACAGGAAAAAAAAATCCCCCTATGTCGCACGTTGTTGTTTACCTCATTCAATGGCAGCCATTTTCAGAAAAGGCGGCCCCTCGAGTGGCAGCCATTTTGGAGCGTTCCCCGGTTCACGTTCCTCCATGCCATTCATTGCCGCCCTGTTTTTTTTTTTCCGACTTCTAAGACCCTAAAATCTCAGTCACTCAATCAAGAATTCAAATCGGGTTAACTTTCCCCTCCTTATTTTTAGTCCCCTTACATTGTGAGATCAATAAAAATAAATACTCAATTAGAGCGCAGTTACCAAATGACAAATACTGGTTTCTTCTCACCACTTAGCGGCACATACAAAAGGATTCATTACGCTCAAATGTGTTGACAAAGCAGTTCTTGAGGCATCGCATGCTGCGGATGATGGCACGGACAGTCTGGTGCACTCAAGGAGACCCGCCGGTGACACTCGGTTGAGGCATGGAGAGAACAAGCATCCCCCCCTGGCCCAGGCTAGCACCCCAACAAGCACCTCCTCTGCCCCCCATCCCCCCCATTGCCCCCGCCCTTTTTTTAACTCCCCTCTGGGAGCGAGCGGAGGCCCGGACCAGCTCCCGGCCCGTTTCATCTTCCCCTGCCTCAGTTCTATCGGGGATCTGTGGACTAGTTTTGCCTCTCCCGTTTCGTTGTGTTTTGATTAAATAGCGTCTGTGTGCACAATTGATACCTAAGGGCCAAAAGGGAAGTCACTTTGCCCACACATAATTTGTAAGCTGTTTCGTCCCACCCCTGAGGACAGATTTGTTCACAGGCCGAGGATCTGTTGTGTATTATCCTGCTGTAACACTGCGTCGCCTTTCGCCTCTTTTTAACATCATGCCTTAGCATTCCCGCGGTTCGCATAGTTCCCTCCTCGGGGGAAAGGAGGGGGAATAAAAAACATATTTTGGGTGGTAATCACAACCTCCTTATGCGGGGAGGGGGTGGGGGGTTGGTCTTTCTTGGTATGTTAGCGGAGAGGCTTTGAAGCCGTCAAACTTAAAACTGATCACTCTTTAACCCCAAATATTTTAAAGGCGGACTTTGATAGGAGGTGTAAAGCGACACGGGCTTGATCTCGCCGAGCGATATCGCGCTCAAGTGACAGCGCAGACCATAACACCACTTTCAAATAAGCCACTTTAAATTAAAGCTGACAGCTTAAAACAAACACGGCCCGCTGCTTAATTAGTAAATGAAAGGAGATATTTCATTTTTTTTTTCTCCCTTCTCTCAGTATGCGAAAGGGCTTAGGAAGTCTCATGGAGGGGCGGGAGAAACATTTCAGAGAGCTTTAAGATGAGAGGGGCACGCTCGCATCGGCGTTTCTTCGACGAAACTAGAAAGACCTTGATCATAAGCGGAGGTTCAAGGTGAAGACAAATGTAATAAATATCCACGGAAACGTTGCTATTACATTAATTACACTGCGTCAATCCTGTCACGTTGCTATAAAAAACAATTTTTAGTGCTATTTTCTGTTAACTTGTGTGTGTGTGTGTGCGTGTGTGTGTTGGCAGAACAATCATGCGAGTTTCATCATCCTTGCAGACAGGAAGTGCCGGTGTATATGTTTTCTTCCCTTTTCTCCCGAGTAGCCCGCGGTCATCACAACAGAATATATTGAGCGCATTATGGATATGAATGCCGGGCTGGGACGCGCAGCACAAGGGTCAGCGCTCGCAGGCTTTGCGTCGGGCACGCACTTCATTGCCATAAAGCAATAATGCGCATCGCTGTTAAGTGTCCCTTCCTTACACCAAAGGGGGGGGTGAGTGTAATTGAATGTGGTATTCCGTGGCATGGGAAGAAGGCAAATTTTTTCAGGCTCCTTAAACATTTCCTGTTGTTTTAGTTTTCCTGCAGACAGTAATAAAGATGCTTTATGATTTTTCCTCACTAAGTGAACAAGTGGAAGTGGCTCGTAACCCCTTTGGGCAAAAAAAAAAAAAACATGAAATAAAATAAAGTTTTTGCAGCTACTTGGGAGTGAATATCACCCACAACTATTCCATTTGGACAGTAATGAGATCTGAATCAATCCACAAAATGCACTTTTACGAGGACACAAAATGTGAAGATGTGGGTTCTAAAAAAAGGCTTGCAGGACTTTTGGGGATTTATTTAAGAGACATTGAACACCGCAAGGTATGCTTGGTAATGCCCTTTATAAAAACTAGACAAGTAAAGATTTTTGATAGTTGATAATGTGAACAGGCAGCTTGGTGGAATAGTGGTTGGACTGTTGACCTCACGGTCCTCCTGGTGGAAAATCTCTGACGAGTGTGTTTTGGGCTTTTCTCCGGTTTTTCCTCCCAAATTAGGCACGCGCAGCGATACGGCAAAACAAAACCAAACTGGACAATTGCGAACTAATTACGGTCACTGCCGCACACCTGGCACATCGTCCTCGCGTACATGCCAACTCGCTGTAACGGAATAATTGCAACCTCCGGTGTTCCTATCGGCGGCATAGCGGACAGTGTGAGCACCATCCGCTGACCGCACCCATGCATTTCGGCAACAGAGACTCTCCACGCTTTGCTTTTCAGCCACAGGCACTGTACGTACAACTGTAAACACAATATATTTAAATCTGATGTATACACAGTATGTAATATAATGGTACGCCTTGGCCGAGGCTTGAAATTGAAAGAAACTCTTCATGTCCACATATTTTGATGCATCTCTTGATGTTTCCTCAAGCCGCAGACAGTCAGCGTTCAAGGTAAACATTACAGGATGCTCGCGGATTATTTATAAAACCTCGAGACGTACCACCAAAACACATTAGCCCGTAAAAATGTTCGAGCGCGACCAGATAAAATACCTTCTCGTCGTCCTCTTCATCCTCACCCATGCTCATGTTCACCTGGGAGAAAAGAAAAGGGCAGAGAGAGATTGAAGTGAATGGGACATTTGTGGGGCGGGAGCATTTTTAACAAACACCTCGTAATGAAATTTCCTTTGAGTACATTCACCCCTATTGGGAGAGGCTTGTTGCCATAGAGACGGCATCATGAGGTGACCTCAGACAAAAGGAAGAGGTGAAAGAGAGCCTTCTTCAAGCGAGCACCGTCACACCAAAGCAATCTCATTTCTCCGCCACGTAAGCGCACAAAAAAAAAAAAAAAAAAAACAGTGGGGGGTGGGGGGCAGGGAAAAAAAACATTTAATTTGGATGTTGTTGCCGATATCACTTTATATCAAGTCATCCCTGACCCCTCTGTGACATTGCCTTTGAACAGCGCTTTTGTCATTGCCAGCCGGAGGGTTACGAGAGGGTCTCGGCAACTGGATGTGGAGAGTGAGTTGGGCTTTAACATTGCCCAGGGATGCAACCTTTGCCTGCAACCGCATACGCACTCACCGCTGAGGTGGCACCACTTTGGGGAGGATGTGTGAGCGGGGCCAGGCTTCTGGCAGGGGTGGGAGTCGGAAGTGTGAACAGCATTAACCTTCAGAGGCATGTGTAGGGCAAACATCGAGCCCACAGCAGTAGACAGGGTGGAGAATGCACGCTCACCCCACTTACACCGTGCGTGCTCGAAAACGGATGGTCGGATGTTTGTGGTTGTTTGCATTTTTGTTGCGTGTTGGCGTTTACAGGCTCCCAAAACTCGACAAACAACTAGCGTATTTTCCGGTCTAGAAGTCGCACTAGAGCATAAGTCGCATTTTGGGAGGCTTATTTTATTTGATAAAATCCAACAGCATGAACGGACATGTCATCTTGAAAGGCAAATAAAAATTAAAATAAAGAACAACAGGCTGAAGTAAGTGAACGATATGCTAACGTTACATGACACATAAACAACGAACTGAGAACGTGCCTGGTATGTTCACGTAACACATTAAGAGTTATTCAGATAACTAGAGCATAAAGAATATGCTAACAAGTTTGCCAAACCATCAGTGTCACCCCAAATCGCTAAATCCAATGAAATCTTCATCCTGCGTGTCACTTTTAAAGAACTCCGACAACTCCGGAGGTAGAAGGTACGGCGCATCCTCTTCTACGGCGCTTACGTTAGAGTCATCGTCAGTTATTCCGATCAGTTACCGCCAATGTGGAAAGTATCAACACAGGCCTAGAGCACCCTCTTGTGGTTTAATGTGAAAAAAACACGTGAAATGATATAACATGTTCATCATTTCACACATAAATTGCTCCAGATTATAAATCACACCCCTGGCTCAACTATTAAAAAAAAAAAAAACTGCAATTTATAACCCAGAAAATACGGTAAAATAACATTTTTGCGCATTTTTCGTCAAAAAGAAAAATTAACTTACACATGCCGAGTCTTAGCACAGGATGCGCACTAATCACTGTAGTTTCAATATAATATGCATTTAGGGTAAAAGACGCGTATTTAGCATTTTTTTCGAAAGCCGAGACTTCATTATTTGTGTGTAAATGGTGCAGTGTATGCACAAATTCAAGTACGTACATATTGAGGGACTACAGACAAATGTGCGTATGTACAATTCAAGCACAAATTTGTGTGTGTTCGTAAATGAGGCCCATTGACTTGGCTGGTTCATTCACTTATTGGCCCGAACAAACTACTTTGTGATTTTGGCTGGGTGTTTTGGTTCATGATCTTGCTGCATGATAAAAGAGTTCCCAGTCAGTTTGGTTGCATCGTTCTTGAAATTGGCACGCAAAATGTTTCATTTCTGAGTTCATTTCTGAGCAGATCATTTCTTTCTCCAAACTTTAGCCTTTCAGTCACCTTAGGAAAGGTTTTTCCATCTCATCAGCCGAGAAAACCCGATTTTTTTTGATCGCTTCTCCGGTCTTTTTGTGTCAAATTCTGCTTGCTGTGTCTTTTACAGGTTAGATTAAAATGGCCTCTCCTGTCTCAACATAAATCTGGACATTGATGACACATTTCTGTATGGTTTCAATGTGCGCAATACTTTATTTTTGTACTTCCTCCGCGTCTGCCGACTTTGTCCAACACCCTGTGGGCTTAATTTGAACTTGTTGCACTCCATTTTTCTGTTTGGAATTACCGACAACCCACACACGAGACTGACACTTTCCTTACCCACACTTCAACTATAATTCAAGTAAATTATGTCAAACTGCCCACTTTTTGAATCGTACGCCAAGCATGGAAAGATACTGCTGCTATTAAGCCTAAAGACAGACTTGCTATAATACGTAAATGACAAAGTGTGTGGGCGAAAAAAGATACTGCTGCTATTAAGCCTAAAGACGGACTTGCTATAATACGTAAATGACAAAGTGTGTGGGTTTCAGTATCTTCATGGTGCAGGGTTACATCGGCAAACTGCAATGTCAGTTTCACTCACCAGGTCCTGGTTGGAACTGCTGTTTCTTCCACAGAGATGAAGGTAGTTCCAGCTGATGAGCAGGAGCAGGAAGAGGGGAAGCATGAAGAGTTCCCAGTGCCATACTGTCACCAGGAAGATCTGAGGAGACGGAACAAGACAGATTCAATGCGATACAGCTCAAGAGACTTCAAAATCCCCATGTGGCCGTCACTAAAACAAAATCCGAAATTGATTTAAGCGCATTCAAAATCTCTCGGAAAAAAAAAAAAGCACTCCAAAACCATAAAGCCTTTTGAGAGTTTGGCAACAGATTATGTCTGAAAATTCAAGGGACAACTTTTTAATACGTCCAAATCCTATTTAGACACACGGCGATAGCGCTGTGTTGGCAGTGAGCGCTCTTGCTGAACAGAAAGTATGACGGATAGATGCGCGCTATGCCGTCTTTTTTAACCGCCGTGTCAAATCCTCTTAGAGTCAGAGACGACGAGAAAGTCTGACGAGGGACATATGGCAACCGGAGGCGCATTTGCAGCATTTACCCTTTCGGCTGCGATGATACTGACCCCCGGTTGAAATAAGGCGGATCACGCTGAATGCGTAATCCCTTATAATTCTGTAAAGGAGTAGTGCATGAAACGCAGATGCATTTCACAGCGGAGCGCTAATTGGATGGTTCCTTTTAAAGCCACTTAGTGATCGTCAAATGAGTCTGCCTACAAGGCAAACGATCGGGAACGTGTGAAAATGATTTTACCAGGCGCGTGACAAGAAGGAGGTGGGGAAAAATGTCCCCGATATTAAGTTGAAGTCTATATACGCTTGACTAGAACACGTATATGTATTCATTTACAATTCTTTTGTTAAACGGGGTATAGCTGCAGATGTCAAATGCGGCCTTCAGTCAGATGCAACTCAGGAAAGGCCTGATTGACAGATGATGGTGAAAAAAAAATATCGCATCCTGGACTGGTCACTACCTAATCTCAGGGCACATATAGACAACTAGGCATGAGATGATTACCAGTTTGACAGTTTACCGTGGTTTTAAAAAGTCAAGGTTTCAATTGCTGTCCGTCATCGATAATGAGCCGAGGGGACTTCTAAGCAGGGCACAATATGTTTGGCTGCTTGCAGAGTTGAGTAAACAAGCGACATCTTTGAAGTTAATTGCCTGAAATTAACTTTTTTTCCCCCCTTCTCAGAAAGCAGAGAGGGGAGGGGTGAGTAGTTCTGCACAAAGGAGCAGGGAGGCAGCAAGACAAAAAAAAGACACCGCCGACATGGATGCATTTTCGCCTATTGTCCCCAATAAATAAATCAACAAAGAAAGAAAGAAAGAAAAAGAAAGAAAATGGCGCCAGAGGGCACTTGTTAGCCCCAAGGACAACATGAGCAGCTTTTCTAAAAATAGCTCACCAGTGATGGAACACTGTGACTTAGTAGGAAGAATTAAAACAGAAGAATGTTGTCATGTATTTATTTATGAAAGTTTTACAAGGTACATGTTTCTAAATATATAGCAAATCTTCTATATTTTGTTGAAAAAATAAAATATATTGTGTTCAACAGAAAAAAAAATACTGTTTCTATTCAGCCAAATATTTCAAAAAAGGACAATTGGACCTGTAATTTTAATGACGTGAAACCACTGTATTTTTGCTCGCGGTTATTACGCCAAATCATATTTTGAAATTTGGAGTCTTCAAGGAACTTAACATGTTTTTGGAGGGTGAGCCAATTGAAAAAAAATATGTTTTTTGAGAAACAGGTGTAGAAAACAGTGATCCCTTTGAGAGAGGGTACTTCAGGTACCCAATTTATTCCCTAGCAATGACAGCTACAACCTGTACCCGTGCTATGCTAGCGCCTTAAAGCTAGACAATAACAACAGGCTCAAAAGAGCTGCGGGCTGCTTGGAGAGTGAACAATATGTTTGCGTTAAAAACCCGAGACAGGACGAGAAACACGGAGAGAGCGAGAAAGAGCTCGGGGCCTCGGTATAGCGGGGCCCCGCAAACAACAGATTGCTTGTGTCACAGTCACCGCGCGCGGCATGTGTACACGTCGGCTCCCGGGGGCCAGTCTACCTAGTGCTGCTCAGGGAACAATGACTAATGCAGACAAACGCCCCCGAGCCTCTCCACCGCACCGCTTAGTATCCTCTGACAGAGCAGTAGGTGAGCTGAGGCGACCACAATGAAGCGCCGCCTTTCGCGGGTGGGGGGGAAGAGGGACCGAGCTGTGCTGCAAATATGGAGGAAAAAAATGCAAGTAATTATGACCACTCCCAAAAAAACTTTTACAATCGTCCGTTTTAATATTTTAAACCAGCGGTGCGGTGTATTCTCTGCATACGTATTGCTCAGTTTGTATGTAGCTAACAGTTTATGCATCATGATGAATTCATCGTGGCTCTGTCTGGTATGTGCAACTTGGCTACCGGGGGGTGACAAGATAGAAGAGTCATGCAGACGCGAAGAAGAGTTTCACTCGATTACTGTAAGTCAATCAGTTAACGGCAGGAATAGTTGTGTTGTTTTCAAACGGAACATTTTGCACCTCATTAATACATATTGAATCACAAAACCGAGGCTCGTACGCCAAAACGTCGCTCAAAAGTCCGAAAAATAACCACCATCGAGATGGTCCCCAAAAATGTCACTGGGCTCACATCATCAACGTGGGTACTCGGGAGGTTGAGGGAAGCTCTGAGCTACTTTTGCAGAAGCAGCGAGGTGGCAATAGCTTCAGCTGGTTACTAGTGTGCCGAAACACGTTGCCGAGTCGCTCCTAGATAACTAATCATCTCACCCCGTGAGCAAAAGATAAGGTCAAAATAAATGGGGGAGGGGGGGGCCTTGTTTTGAAAAAAAAATGTGTTCAATCTTTAATTGCCAGTTTCTGTGTTTTAAAAAACAACAAAAAACAAAAAAACAAGACAGTGGAAGCCTTGAAAGATCAGTCAGAATGCTCTAAACTAGCTGACACTCAATAGGTTGTCTTTTTTTTCCCCTTTTTTTTCAAATGGCTGGCACTGCAAGAGTTCAAGGGTGATTACACCAACACATTGATGCTATTCATTCGTCCATGTATGGACTCATTCATTTCCCATGATGTGTTAGCATTCAGCTAGCGGACTTCAAGGCAACGTTATGTGGCTGTTTTATCTCATGTGTAATTCTCTTTTGCTACTATGTGAGCTGTGCTGAGTTCACTGTCACAATACAGTGCTTGTATCTCAATGTTTTGCTCTCAAGTCAAATACAAAGGAAAGAAACACCGCACGTCTTGTTTCTCACATCTCAAGGCACCGGTGTATTTGCAAATAGGAAGGGGGGGGGGGGTTCACTGTACAACAACTTTCCACAAATAGACAATCTGCTGCTGTTATTCTTTTAATAGCTCATTTGCATTACAGCGACAAACTAGCACAAGCGGGGGGTAAAGTTAAAAAAAAAAAAGGTAAACAATGAATATGCATGGAGGCTCTGTTATGAATAACCTGCGTCATGTGTTGTCACCTCAGCTCCCAAGAGACGCCTCCAAAGCAATGCTCCCCCCCAGAGGAATTCAGCTGGCTGGCCGACTGGTAGCTTGTCATATTACCCGCAATATTCCCATTATAGAAATTTAAAAAAAAGGGAAAAAGGGGAGGAAAGGAAGAGTGACACGAGCCCAGCAGGAATGTCGCCGCTCCTTGCTCTCGCCCGGCGAAAGCTGTCGCATTAACCACTAAAAGTCTAATTGCTCGGCCTCCGTCTTCCCGCGCGAGTCAACAGAGGAGGCCAATTCATTTCCGCCCAAAGGGGGGGAAGGGGAGGGAATCTGTCACAGGTATTCATGATCGCCCACTAATGCAAATTTCTGCTCGCCGCGTTCCGGCTCAGCGGACAAGATAAAAGCCTACAGGAAGACAATGCCTGGCGTCGGGGAAAAAAGTGAGTGCCTAAATGAGGGTAGAAACCAAAACTGTCAGACATATCTCCTCCATTCCTCCCTCACAGGTGTGTTCTGCCTTTGCAGGCTTTCTTTGCGAAAAGTGAAACATCTGGGTGGTTAGGAAAAAATAAAATAAAAAAATGTTCACTCAGGTGTTGTTGTCAAGGATCCCAAAGTAATGAGCAGCGGCAGAAGGGTACTCCCCCCCCCATGTTTCCTCACATCCTCCAGCGTTCCCCCCCCACTAGAAAGGAGACGAGACTAATTCCCCCCCAACTAAGTGGCTTGTGTTTTATTAGCAAGTGGCTGAGTGATTAGAGGACACGTTGGACAAAGTGCAACTGTAAATCTGTATCAAAATAATCCCCCTTTTAATTGCCGTCAAAGACGAGCGGAGGCCCTTTTCGAGTTCTCCTACCCCGCCTTCCTTCCATCCACAAATTACACGCGCAGAGCGAAACCTCGATCTTCTGAAACATGGCAAATGCGGTCAACGCAAAAGACAAAACAAAGCAGGACGAAGACAAACAATGTAGTGGAGCACGGGGCACAAGTGGCTAACGTAGTGATTGGCAAAGTATGGCCTGCGGGCCACATACGGCCCACTCTTTTCTTTCATTTAGTCCACCAAACATTATGAGTCCTGTAAATAATGATGCTTTAACGTCTCCATTTTGCAACTAAAATTAGTTATTTAAAACGTATTTATCACATGACATTATTGGTTATGAATATCTTGTAAAGAATATCATAAAAAAAATAATAATCACATAAACTGAACCAGAATTATCATGCGTCGCAACACAGTGAGAAAAAAAAAAGTTGGCACATCATCATTGCAACATTCCATGAAAAAAAAGTCGAAATTGTATGAGAAAATATTACTTTTCATACAATAATTACAATTTTATACATACCGTGTGCATTTGAACCTTTAGTTTAATCTAATTACTTCTTCATGAACCTTAATACCATCGCTAATATTTGAACATGAGAATTATTATTTGTGGATGATTAAATTAATCATCAATGTAAATTTTGGTGGATGATTAAAGTGTAAAGAATTAAAAACAATCCAAGTAAAATACTAACGATAAATAACAGTTAAACATATTTGAAAAATAACTGCAAAATTAATTAGAATGAACAGATTTTTCGTCCAATAATGGGGAAATCCGAAGAAGGGTTTAGGTTCA